GAGAGAGAGAGAGAGAGAGAGAGAGAGAGAGAGAGAGAGAGAGAGAGAGAGAGACGTAGAGCCTAGAGCAGAAGAAGAAAAGAACAGGAAGGTCGCTAAGACCTCGAGCAGCACAAGGGCCAAAGAGGATCAAGTCAAGCCTCCGATCGACCAGTTGAGTGCACGAATCTTTGACTCCTTGACGTAAAGCCCCCCTCGTTGTCTCTTCATGGAACAGAACGCTCACGGGGGTTCTGTCCCCTTTTCTCTAATTATGAAAGAGGAGAAAGAGACACAGGCATGCGACAGTCTCTCCTCATTTTTTTTTTAGATTAAAAAAGGTGGCGAGGAAAAAAAAAGGGGGGGGTCCTTTCAGTGGCGATTATCAGTCTGTCGTAAAAATACAGAAGTATGTATATTCTTTATGCATTGCCAACATATTTCATCGCAGTCCGAAACGACGAAGGACCGTTATAAAGTCAGGTATTCGATCTCCGTGGTTCACATACCATCTATGCCGACTGGCAAAGCAGAGAGAAAATATTTAAAACAAAAGAATATTCCAAGGAGCTGGAAATCGAACCCATGATCTTGACTGGGAGTCAGACGCGAGCACCAAAAGACCGATACTCGCTTTACACGAAAATGAAAGGCGGGAGTTAATGAGTGGAACCTTTCAACCAACCACGTGTTTCCTTTGTATTTAAAACAGTCACTTGGTGACATCTTCCAAATTTTGCTCTTTATGGCAAAACTGTGCAAATTCTATTCTAACGGGGGCAAAGTACACTTGTTGTTGGGTTCTTTTCTTTAAGTAGAAGAAAAATCACTGTCACTCTAAATCCTGCTTATTCAGCTGAAAATCTTAATTGATTAGCTGTGACTAAGCACAACGACCCTGGGACGTGTTCCAACGAGAAATGCACTAGCTCTTAGTCCATCTTATCTCTATCCTGGCCTTCAAATAACGAGCACAAAGAACTAGCGGTCAAATGCATGGGCGAAAAGGTGAAGACTGGCGCTGATATACCAAACGGTGAGTCAGCGTTATAGAGGCCACATAAAGAGAGAAACAAATTGGGACAATACAGATATAGAAAAGAAATAGGGGCAGACCATCCAAAAGAGAGGACCAATCCCCTTTGACAGACAATGAAACGTACAACTGGAAGATTGTGTGTTATTTTCAAAATGAATTTATTCCACCTAAAGCTAACACACGTCAATGACCCCGAAGAACAAAGCCTTCAAAGGGCCCCCAAAGACTTTACGCCTCGGAATCAAATCTACTAAAGATCCATGTAAAGCATGAAGAGCTAGGGGCATATCGTAAGCAAAATTATCAAAATTCCGGGCTGCAGAGCGGACGCTAGAAGTTTGAATCTCCAACTTGTTGCAACTCGGTTTGTTTGAGGAATTGTATGACACCCCCCCACCCACCCACGTGACTTAGACCAGTCGGAGAGAGATGCTATTATAATGGGTTCAGCCTCTACATAACGTTTCTGCGTTGAAAGGGGTAATTAACCCATACCATGCCACTTACAGGGGGTTATTGCAGTAAACAACCCAATATCAATTACTACTAAAGCCCCGCTCCAACAAAACCCGTTCAGCCCAGCAGCTGTGGTCACTACTGGAAAGATGACCTTGACAACGAGTTCAGTAACCGCTCCCCCCCCCCCCCCATCCCCCCCTCCTCTCTCTCTCTCTCTCTCTCTCTCTCTCTCTCTCTCTCTCTCTCTCCCTCTCTCCCTCTCTCATAACTACCAATCAATTCCCTACAAAAGTCCACAGAGCGACCCAGACGATCATTATAAAAACTCTGTCTGAGGTTCCCTTGACCAATCAATGTTCCCAGTTTTACAACTTTCCAAACCCGGGTAACTACGTTCAGATCAAGAAGCTTTATCCGCGCTCTGCAGTGCTTTGCTGGGGATTCTTTTTTTTAAAATGTAGTAGTTTTTACGCCACCATCGACACAATTTAGACCATTCAGATGGTGGGCTTTGGCGCTGCAAACACCGGTCTTCTGAGTGCGACGACCAAGAGCCCGACCGTTACACAATAGATCCCAGCTCGCTATAAACCAGTCAGTAACAAAACATGTATGCATCAAGAATCGGATTCATAAGGAAATGAATGCGAGCCCAGCTCCACTCCAGCTGATTTGTACGTCAAACCAAGAGGCTTGATTGCTGCAGTGTGACGGCATGGACCAATAAAGCACGTCACTACAGCACAAAGCGGATTATCAAGAAAACTAAAACCAACAGACGTCAGACACACACACAACCAACAACAAACAACTCCCGAAACAAGCAACACAAACAGTAATCATAATCAGGAACGCATGTCGATGATAGGCTCTGTCGTCTCCCTGCACTTTGTTACTGTATACGCATTGAAGGTGCTGACTGATAATTATTATTAGAACAGGTGTCTACTGTTAAACTGGACCCCCACCCTTCCCCTTCCCACACTCCCTTTTTTTTTTTGTCTCTCTTTTCGAGCGAAGAGCAGATATCAACGAGGTTTCGAGACACAAAAACTGTTTCATCATCAGTACTAAAAATCAGATAAAGTTTTGTCTTACGAGCAGGATCGTCGGCGTCGCTTGCAGCTTTCAACACCCGTCTCTCGACGTTTCATCAAACGCAAGCACGATCTCATGTACATTGATGGGGACATTTCAGAAGCGAAGATGAGAGTCACTGTCAGCTCATGGGACTGAGACAAGACCAAAGCAATCCACAAAAGGGGGGAGAAAGTGGACACCCTCCTTCTTCCCACTATTTTCGGCTTCCCTTCTCAGATTCGAACCTCGTATTTCATTGTGTTTGCCAAGTCAATCCATCAGCTGAACCCCAGCTGCTCAAACTTGACAAACTAGCGTCCCACAACCAGCTGCTGCACTAGCGTGTTAGACTGCTGATCTTGCCAAAAAATAATAATTAAGACATGAGTTTCCTCCTTGCGCAATATTGATGACAGGCTGTGACAAAGTCCAGTAGGGTCATTATTTATTTTTAGACTACGAAAAATTGCTACTTTTTTCAGCGTCATCAGACTGCTGGACGAAAAAAAGTGTGCTGGTGGTTGGAGGGTGCCCCAAGCAGGTCCTTCTTTTTCTTCCCTCGGTTGTTTCGGCACATCTGATACTTTTTTCCTCGGCACTAAACGACAATCAGTGCTTCGATGGGCTAATCTTTACTCAAACCATAAAAAGGGAAGGTGTGTCACTCTACTTCATACGACTTTGCCATTCCCCAACTAATTTCTCGATTGCTTTCTGTGACATTTAGTCTTGTGGAAGGCTGGACCAAAACGACCGTAATGCTAATAACCGCTTTACGCCCCCATCAATATAAATGAGATCACTTCGCGGGCGGGCCGGTTCGATCTAGCCTGTTAAGGCCAACCCAGCCGGAGTGGGAACAGAAGCACTGTAGAGAGACAAAGCTGCTCG